CCATTAATAATCCTTTCCCTTCCCTCTTGTCCTGTCGACCGTATACCGCGAAAGTCCATTTCACTTTCGTATCGGAGGAGAGAAGGTGAATCGGCAGCCCGGCTCGCGAATAATTCGAGAATCTGATGGCCGCGGCCGATTACGATCGAGAGAGTGGCTGATTTACGCCGGTGTAATTAAACGAATTAGCCACACGGCCGGCCGGGCCGGCGAAACAAGAGCGGCGACTCGCGAGAGAGCATCCTGAGAATGTTACTCGTTACCGAAGCGATTTCGCGGGGATAAACGGCTCGTTTTAAAAGTCACGCACGCCGCGCCCGCGTGCGTGCGTGCACAGCGGTGCACAGCGAGAGATACGATCGGTTTTTAATTTCGCCGGTCGCGAAAGTTAGATCTCACAAAACGCGCTCACCGTCGCGACGCTGAGAATTATTTATTCACGCGCTTCGATTTCTATAGGAATTTCTATAGGAATTGCGAGACGGACGGGAGAAACGAGATGCGCGATCTCCGTGTGTGTGTCGAGATAATTCGGTCTTAGTAAGAGAATACGACTCCTTCATTTATGTGGTCCGTTGATTTGCCGCCGACGGAGTCTTATGTCTAAGGGCAATTACCGCCGGTTATTCTACCGAAGGGAGAGACTGTAGCATCCATTATTTTTACCTCCGCGACGCGGCGCGGCGCGGCGCGGTGTGGTTGGCTCTCCCCGGATTCAATTCCGCGGAGCGCACTGGATGGAGGCGTAATGCCTGTTTTACTCACGCGCCCCATTCGTCGGCCGTACACCGAAGACAGGTAAGAGCAGGCTTTGTTTCGAAAGCAATCGGTCTTCCGCGGGATCTCCCACGACCGCGCCGAGCATCGCAGCCGCCGACGATTCATGACAGAACAAATTACAGATCGGCAGAAAAAGACCACCGTCGACTCGTTCGCGGCTGCGTTCCTCCCTAGGGCCTTACCCCTACGCGCGCGATACAAAGTCATGAGTCGCAAATTAATGGCGGCCATAATTTCGGCCGATAGTCGGCCGATGATGATGTATCGTTGCTAAATGCAACAGCGGAGTCGTCACGCTGCCGATTATTCACCGAATGTTAGCCGCAATCTCTTAATCGCTGCAAGGTCGCCGATGATCGCTTGAATATCACGGGTGAAGGAAGTACAACATAGTTCATAAAAAAGTAGTAGTCAATCTCATTGTTGAATTTAGAAATATGACTTTCCGACATACAAATGTCTTATATGCATAATTATAGTGAGTGTAAAAAGTATTTGTAGAGGAAAAGATTAAAAAAAACCATATTTTTAGAAAGAATAAACATTAATTAACAATTTATTAATAACAAATAGATGGATATTTCTCAAAATTATTCTACCTAAAAAGATACAATAATTAAAATATATTATCTTTTAATTGAAAAAAATTTTTTAATCATTCTTCAAGAATAATTGAAATCTATTCCATCATCAGCGAAACTTGGTGCAATCAACAGACCGAAAACTACGAATTGTAATTAGCGCCAATGATTATGCTACAAAATATTAAATTAATATATTATCCGAATTAAAAAAATGTACTTTTTTTGTGCAATAAAATAATATAATTTTTCATACAATATATGTGGCTTGTTATACTTCTTTGTTTATAATAATTAATTTAAAAAATACATTTACTTAACTAACTGTATTCATTATTAAAATAAATTACTGACTAATATTTATTTGCTATAAATAAGGCTTTTCTACGAAAATCTCTGTACTCACACAAAGAACAATATTTAGTTGAATTAATTGAAATTTTAGTAGAAAAGGAACAATTCAAAATTCTGATTAAATCTACTAGAATTTTAGTAGATTTTACCAAAATTCTGGATCGTTCATTTTCCACCAGAGTTCCAGTTAATTCAATCAAATTTTTCTTCATGCACTAATGAAAACATCATAGATTTGTTTATGGCTTAAGTAATAAATGTTAAAAAAATTCTAAATTTCCTGCGATTGATAATTATTGATGAGATTGAAAGGAGCTATCACTTATAATAACCTTAAAATAATTCCAGTTTCAGTTTCACTTATTGTTAGTAGGTACAGGCCGTAGCAGCCAAAAAAGAAGCTCTAACTTTTCATAACAAGTACTTCGCGATACTTGTTTACCCGAGTATTCTGACTGTTCCTTACGAAGTTCCGGGAATCTAATTTACGGTCATTGGGTTCGCGGCCGAAGGCTTAAAAGAGCGAGAATACGCGTGTGGGTCTCGGGAGAGAACTCGGACGGGAACCGCATATTATAACGAGACAAAGCATGGCGGAGCCGTCGTGATATTATGACTCGGATCGACGGAAATACGGCGTGTCTCGCAGGGCTGTTTTCGACTGACTTATTTCGACCCGTTAGCCTAATTTCTCATTCTCGCGCCAAGGACGACCAGAACGACTTCTGTTCTGTGTTTGGTGCAGTCACACGACGAGGGTAGACGCACGGTCGCGTCCACCGCGTATACCGGTTATTATCTTTTCGCATTTTTCGGTCGAGATTATCCTCAAAACGAATGGCCCTCTTAAGCCTCCAGACCGGATCATTAATCTGGGTTCGAGGAGATGGCTGGGGCGGGCACGCCGGTCGCGGAGAGGAGTGGATGAGCGTCTACAAAGACCTTAGTGCGCTCGTGTGTGCCATCTCCACAATCGCTCTTTCACGGGAGTGATTTAAATAAAGGGTAAAGGACACTTCAAGGCTGACGGCAATTCTGTTCAATTTATGCGCGCGGATCCAATATATAACCTCCCTTGCTTTTTTCTATTTTATGGCGGCGAGTCCGTTGAGTAAGAACGAGATAAGTTTACAATTAATCAAAAGTGGAAACTGCTTCTCAAGATGCTGTACTGGCTGATCCATAAACGCGAAATCAATTGAAACGTTAAAGAACGAATAGCTGGCCTGACTCTGAGAGAGCTGAGAGCTGATCGCTCTCCCCCCCTCCTTCTCCTCCCTCCCTCCTCTCTCTCTACCGTTAATTATTTAGAGAGAGAGAGAGAGAGAGAGAAGGGGGGAAGTTATTAAATTTATTATCATATATCGAAATAGTTTTGTTGCTTTATTGAAACCAGTTTTGTTGCGTCTATCAAGATCACCTAAAGAAAAATCTTCCAAAGAAAAACTTCAACGATATTATATATATTGTACGCGAGTATCGATCGTCGAGAGGATGTGAAAAATATACTTATGATCAAGGGATCACGTCAATCTGCTTTTGAGACGCTGCCGTCGAGCAAACGACGTTCTTGAGGGACAGTAATGAATTCTATTCTGGCGTCTGTTCATGCGTAAATCAATTCTGACGGGTTAAAAGAGTTTCCGCGTCCGCATCGACACCAGGAAGCGGAAACTCGAGATGTACCGGTGTCGGAGTCATTTATAGCAACGAATGTTCTCTGTGTACAAGACGCCGCTGCGCTGAGACGTTGCTGTTGCCGTTGCCGATGTCGGTAGGTAGTGGCCGGCTGATGCATGCACGGCAGGCCACCGTATAGTACACAATCGGCTACGACCTCCCGGTACACTCTGCCGCGTGCACGCAGCATCCGAGAAAGCCACCTCTCAGATCTTGATTCACTGCTTGACATAACACGCAGATTCTGACAGTTCGCGATATTCGAACTCGTACCATATTTTCGTACTCTTCCGTTATTCATGATATATTGCCCCGCTCGACTTTTTCTTTCTCACTTTCGTTCATCTCCAACAATATATTTGTATTGATAACAACATGGTGTCCAGCAAAATCTGGCTAGTCAATTCAAGAATAATTTCAGGACACTCCAGATAAAAATTCTTTTTCCAGGATTTAATCGATTAATTTTCATTATTTAATTAATTTTTATCGAGTTGCACAATATTATATGCTTTGTATTTCAGTTAGGATTCTATACGAATGAATTAAAACGTTAACAAATTTGGAACATTATTTATTGTTTTATAAATAATATCAAATGAACATTCCAGCAACACAAACAATTTTTCTACTATGTTCTATTTTAGACATTAAATTCAAGTTTCTCATTCTCTATTGGATAACTTATTGCATTTTTCTCTATTGGATAACTTATTGCATTTTTTAAGGGAGGACTTATACCCAAACACAACTTTTCTTCTTATTATTTTTTCTTTTTTCACGCTCTGATTTTCTTAGAATGAAAAAATGATAAATTCTAGGTAAGCAGGGAAATTTCAGGGGTTTTCCAGAAATTTTCCAGAATACATAAAATTCAAGTATAATTTCAGGATCCAAGGATATTCAAGGACTACTGGACATGATGAACAAGATATGTTTTTTTAAACGTGAGAATTAATTTGCAATTTTATAAAATGTTACTTAATCGTTAAGCAGATGTCATCATGCCAAGTCTGTTGCTGTAATGACTACATACTGAGAAAAATGTACTAATTTTAATAAATATTTGTTTTTTAAATAGTACTAGCTTAATATTTATTAAATATAAACATATATTTATTTGATAAGAATTATTAATTTCATTAATTTAATTATAATTTTTTCCATCTAGTAAATATTTATTTACTATAAAAAAATGTCAAGTTATGTAGTCCTATTCAAATAAATATTTGTCAAAATTCAGTACATTTTTTCATAGTGTATAATAACTGCATGTCTAACTAAATTTAACTAACATTGTAACGGTATTATTATTTATTAAAAGGATACTTCTTGGCATAAAGTTAAATAAGATAAGAATCTTGATGAACGCGGTTTAAAAAGTATAAAAGTATAAAAGATATATATAGAGAGAGAGAGAGAGGAGTTTTTTTTATCGTACAATTAAAAGTGATATAAAAAAGATAGGAATCCATATCAATACGATAAATGGATTTTGTGGCAGTAAAGTAGCTTTTTTACGCGCAGTAAAAAGAATAAATAATTGGTTAAGAGGATTTGATCCTACGAATTCGCTTCTAATATCAAATTACAAGCTTTACTCACGTGTTCGTCCACAGAATACGTCAGTTCCCCGTCATCGTAGAGAACGAACCACCTCCTTTGCCATCTCTGTAACACAGAAATCGTATTGATTGTTAGAAGAGATGTTCTTATTCACTATTTAAATATAAATATTAAGAAAATATTTGAATTCTCTAAATATTTTTTTACAATTGACAATTAAAAATTCAATATTTAGAGTTTATGAGACAGCAACGCTACGGTAAAATAACGAGAAATTTAATAGTCTATCGTAAATAATTATTACTTATGATTAATAACTGCAATATTATTTGCACTAATTACTATCGGACTTGAAACGTAATCATATACTGATCCTGGGTGAAATAAAATTTTTTGCAATAAATTATTTACAATGTTTTAAGATGTTTTAGTAACATCATTATCAAATCGACGATCGATTTAATTGTGATATTATTATTTCAGCTTTAGTCTGTTTCAAGTCCGATAATTTAACAAGCGGCGCATAATTTTATATAACTAAAAGACGTATTTAAAATTTACATATAAAAATATTAGATCTCAAAATTTAGCTTCGATCGTATCGATTTGTTTTTATTTACCTAATACTATTACTAATTACTATTATTAATTAATTACTATTATTAATTAATAATTATTTGCGATATACAGTCAAATCTTACATTATACTTAAATATATGTAAATAACCTCTCTGATTACTATTTAAATAATTATTATAACTGCCGCAGTTGTATACTTTACAAAAAACAAGATTACCGCAACAGTAGGAAAAACATGGATAGAACTTTCCATGGAGCACTTCGCAATTTACGCAGAAAGACGCGTCCTTACGCGGAGAAAAAACAATTTTACACGATTCAAGGTTGAACCTGTTCGATTCACCTTAAAGAATCTCTAAGGCCTCCCGCTACGTCAGCTGGACAATTAGCACGCGGCAGCCGTTAATTAGAAACAAAGTCAACGCGGCGCGGCGGAGAGGAAAAAGAAAGAAGCGCAGCCAACGAGCGCAGCAGCCAGCAGCGATGGATCGTCACGATTTCTCTTGCGTTGCTATGAGTTGCAAATAACGCCATGAAAAACTTATCTCGTGGCTCCAAATGCTTTTGAATACTCTTTTGTGTTCAAATTTACGGATTCGAGCTTATCTTTAAAACTTCATCTTCAAAAATTTCTCCTGGAAAAATTTCTTCATTCTCGTAGAGTGCTAATAAATGTATACGATATATCTTTCGCGCATTGTTTTCATGCAAATCTCTTACAGTTAATAAAAGCCGTCGCTTTCACCGCACATTACCCGACGGAAATACTCTTCGAGATTCGTTATGTACGTTATGTATGTAGCAACAGCCGCGAATTTGATGGGCGCACTTTGAAAGAATCGCGACGTTTATAGAGCGAGAACTTTACACGTTATACGATTGTATGCAAATGCACACAACGTGTAAAGTTTACGTCCGACTGCATGCACAGTTATGCGATACCGGCCATATCGATTAACCTCCTTGTCTATCATAGTGATGGGTACAATGTCCCACAGGCAAACGCATTGACACAGAAAACATGAAACGCTGTTTCATAATCAAACTTTGCAAGCAGAAAAATATATGACGAGTTGAGTATATAAAATCACTTAACTTATGAGAATCATGTGAAGTTAATTTAACAGACACCAATATAAAATATATGAGATATATTTTTTCTCTGGATTTTTTCCTCGATGAAAATAACTTTGGGCGTAATTAATGAATTCAATACAATGTTCGGAAATAAACTTCTTTTAATAATTCCAGAAAAAAGATGTTTTTAAAATTATTTATTTCGTGTAGAAACCTTTTCTTCGCATATAGATGCATTAAATTTTTAATGCTGATGTTACTTTTTCTTAAAAAAATTCAATAAAATATTTTTTTTTAAACACTAAAAATCAATTCTGAAAGAAATTCCATTCAGAAACCATTCCAATTTCTTTCGCAATTTATTTACTTTATTTTTATTATATAACCATATCATAATAAACAAAATTTCACTTTCTTTAAATTGATCCGATAAGATGTTTCTTATACTATTTTTTTCGCTAATTTTAAATCTGTTCGCTAAATTCATGAAAGCAGCATTTTTTAATAATATGTGTTAAAAAATATGATAAATTCTAACCTAATTTTCCAAGTCAGCATAAAAAAATACATAAAAATAAGCTAAGATCACCCAATTAACAAACTCATTGTACACCAGTGTTATTGAATTTCTAAATAGCGTCATTCATATATGAATAAGATTTCAGAGAAGAAAGACGCAACTGTAACGGAAACATTGCTGTCATTGATACATGTGGGACGTGAAAGAGAATGTGTTGAAAACGTGCCATTTCAGTAAACGTACATAAATACGAATCTATAGGTTTGTATGGTACCTGGTACCGATTTCGACGTTACAATACAATACAACCGCATCCGAATTCTTCACAAAAGCGTGCTGCTTTTGTTCGCGAATGGACAAAATATTGTCGTAGTCACCATGCAGAATAGACGCATAGGTACCGTTGCAAAATCGCTGGACGAAGAGGGAAGAGCAGATATCAGCCTACACGAGACGGCGGTATCTTCATCGGTAATTATTCACTAGGGGCCCTATGGACCAGCCGTACGTGGACTCCGGCACGTGCGTGGGAATCTCTCACGGAAGAAGAGGAAGAAGAAAGAGCGAGAGGCATAAACAATGCGCGAAAGAATTGAGACAGTATAACGGAAAGAAAGCACGGAACTCTCCTAGCTGATACTCGTAATCTCTTTCTGCCGTTCTAAGAACCAATAAATTTTTTTAAGACCAATTATGCGGGTCTAGTCTCTGGATTTGAATTAATTACGATATCGTTCACGATAATGAATCTTATTTTGCTCGACTTGTTCGCGAGATTTTAAAACTATTTATTATTCTTATTATATAACGACATAATTATAGTTTTTTTTCTACTTGAGCACAAAAATTACTTAATTATTATATAATATATCTGTTAAATATTATTGTTATGTCGCAAATGGTCAAAGATATAATTATCGTAAAACTATAATAATTACACATAATAGTATAACTAAACACATTTTGAAACAAATGTGTGCATAAATTTTGTCTTTTATAATTGTTATTCTATTTTATAATTAAATCTCTAGATCTTTGCAAAGCATTAAATATTTTTTAGAGAGCATGCATCGTAATTTCGTACATCAAGAAACCCGCATAATCCTGACCTACCGCATCTTCCTGGCTTATACAGGCTGTAAATACCGTCTACGGATTCGAGCCTTTCTAGTTCAACCAGTCGCCGCCACTTTTCAGCGAGTTTCAATCAACCGAAGCAATTATCGAAGATCCTAAAGTCCAGTAAAATAACTAACTATAAATTACAAATGCAAATATAATTGAATTTCAAAAAAGAATAGGAATCATATTGTTAATGAAAATAACAAAGTTAATTAAAAATAAAAAATGTAACATAAAGTATCAAATGTTTTAATTGATGAGAATAAAAATTATTGAAAGAAAAATATATTTTTAGACTATAATTAAAATATAATATAATATGTGTAAAAATTATTTAAACGGTGACAAGTTACATTTTTAAGATCAATTCAGACATAACCGCACATGCATGACGCATCAAAATGTATCCGTATCGTACACGAACAGAGAAATATATAAAATTAACGTTTTAATGCAATATATATGTAAGTTCGATGGCACTCTAACCACGTGCTCTAGTCACGTGTTCTGAGTAAGTAGAGGTTAAGATCTACGTTGGAAGGGAGGATCGATACGTGTTTGCTCTGTTCGCCACTACGCAGCGCATCTTCCCGTATGTAAGATTCATCCGAAACTGTATATAAGGCCTGCAAAATTGAGTAACGACATCGCTTCTCGGCTCTATTGAGCTAAGATCAAAAGTGTAGTATCTGTTCTTATCAGCTTAATATCTGATACAATCCCCATAGGGGATTCAGAATATTAAACTGTTTTTTGAACCAAGGCGGGTGTATGGAGCTTGCTCCAACCCCGTCAGGGTCGGCCCGATATTGCAGTTTATTCGGGACAGGCCTAAATAAATCGTTTCAAAAATAAGAAATATTTATGACATACAGAAATTGGAAAAGTTAATCCATTTCTGAAAATGTTACGGACAAACGAACAGGATGGACGACGGATAGATAAAAACCGTAAATTAATTATTAATTCCATCCTAAACAGTTTCATATATTTTTTCTGATTTTTAAACGAAATTTTGATTTTCCTTGGCTTTCAATAATACTTTAAAATTTTAGTATTTTCGTCCTGATTTGGAGACCATCAAATATTTTTGTTGAGAGATTAATTTAGCGTAGCAAAGTAAATATTAATTCTTAATGTTGCTAACTACTTGCATTTAAAAATTATTACATTAGTAGTTTCCAAAACCAAGTGTGAATATAACTTCTTTAAAGCCAAAGAATCCACTAATTTTGCAAAATTCTCTGCCCTGATTGTTTTCAATTTCTTTGAATTTTAGTTTTGTAGCGATCCTATTTATAAAATATGCATAGTTAATAAATAACTAACATCATGTACATAAACATGTATAATACAAAAGGCAATATTTATACTCTTTTGCTATTCATCCCGACGAGAGTAAACGATTATCACGAGAAATGCGCATATTTCATCGCAAGATAAATTTCAACGTATCAGCCTGCTAGTCACGAAGATCATATATACTCTTTGCCAAGCAGACGTAAAGAATCTTCGATTTCCCGCGCTGTATTTTACGACGCCGCCACTCGATATTCATACTTGCGGAATCGTGATTTCGAACAAAGTGTGAATCTCTACGTTTATACGAATCGAGTCTAAATCCTGATTTTATCACGAACTATTACATGCTGCATCTTCATTTTCGCTCACATTAATCCTTAGATGTGTTCAATTCACGTAGCGCGTAATTGGATGCGTAGAATCAATTATGATCCTATTACGTTTTTTACTGCATCTTACTCATCAACACTGTTAAATTCATAATGTTAAATTA